CACTGCTCTGAACTGAATGTGTGAGACTGAGGAAGGCAATGTAAGACTGGGCACTGCAGCCTTGGGGAGACCTCATGCTTTTGTGGATTTTATCTCCAGGAGCCCTTCAGGTTCTGATGGTGAAGATCCCAGAAAGAGCTGCTCCTAGCTTTGGTAGTGAAAGGAAGAGCATTCCTTGTGAAATACACCAGAGCCTTCTCCTTTCCCCTGGAAGGCCCACTCTCCAGGGGAAAAACTTCTCAGCCTCATTCCAGCCTGGGGAAGGACATTTTCTACTGCAGCTCCCTCCAGCCTTCCAGTCTCACCTAAGGCTGGGGGAAACACTTGTGAAATCACAGGCCAGACACAGAGCCCCACTGAAAGACTGAGATTTAATATGATGATTATAGGACACTCCCCTTCCCCTGCAATTTACCACCTCATCAACAGGGCTTCAGTATAACAGCAGTAAATTACAGTTGAAAGAGCTCCAGACAGAGGCTCTGACGAACAGAACTCAAGGTCAAGAGGTGAGGCTTCTGGCACCTACAGCAAATACTGAACACAGCCCAACTCTGAGGCAGATGAACATAAACCCTCACACTAAGGCCTGTTGACCTCAGTTCCTATTGCTCTGAATTATTAGCCAGATAATTTAAAATACTATGGTTAGTATGTTAAGGGTTCCAGTGAAAAACTAGATAACATGCGAGAACAGATAAGTAATATAAGCAGAGTGAAGAAAACACTAGGAAAGAATCAAAAGGAAATACAAAAAATCAAAACACTGCAAAAGAAATGATGAACGCCTTTGATGGGCTCTTCAGTAGCCTAGACAGAGCCAAGGAAAGAACCAGTGAGCTTGAGCATATGGCAACAGAAACTTCCCAAACTGAAATGCAAAAAGAAAACATATTTAACAAAAAACAATAGAATCCTCAAGAACTGTGGAACAACATCAAAAGGCTTTACATATGTGTTATTGGAATACCAGAAAAAGAGAGAACAGCACATAAGTGTTCAAAGAAATAATGACTAATAACTTTTCAAAATGAATGATAGACCCAGAGAACTGATAAATACAAAACAAGCAACAAATAAACAAAAGTCACAAACACACACCCCTAGGTATATTAGGTTTAAACTGCAGAAAACCCAAAGACAAAGAGAAAATCTTGAAACAAGACAAAGGCAGGGGGAGAAACCTCTTACCTAGAGAGAAACAAGGATAAGAATCACAGCAGACTTCTCATCAGAAGCCACACAAGCCATGAGAGAATGGAATGAAACATTTAGTCTTGAAAGAAAAAAAAAGAAAACCCTTTCTTTATCCAGAAAGATCGTCCTTCAAAAGTAAAGGAGAAACAAAGACTTTCTCAGACAAACAAAAACTGGATGGAATTCACAGCCCATAGACCCGCTCTGAAAAAATTGTTGAAAGTTCTTCAGGGAGAAGGAATAAGGAAGAGGTCAGAAATACAGATCTCCATAAAGAAAGGAAGGGCATCATGAAGGAAACATGAAGATAAAATATAATCCTTGAACTTTTTTATTGATCTTTAAAAGACAATCCTTTAAAATCACAGGAACAATTTACTGAGTTAGTATGGCACATGGAGAAGTGGGGTGAAGGCAACAACATCCCAAGAATTTGAGGGAGGAACTGGGAATGTTCTGTTAGGTGGCATCTGCACTGTCTGTGGGAGGCACAGTGTTATCTGAAGGTGACTCATTGGTAATCGGGGAGAAGGGTCCCCAAGGAGGTAGAGTGGCGTGGTAACTGGGTGGATGCACCAAGCATGGATAACAGTGACTGGAGCCAGAGAGACGGGGGCTCAGCCCCAATCTCACTCACTGGGCCAGCTTCGGTAGGGTTTTCACAGCTTTTGCTCTCAGAAATCTCATCTCAGAAATTAAAGCTATCAATAGTTCCTTTGTAAGTCTCTCCGGAGATTGAGATAAGGCAAGTAAAGCTGTCCACATAACACCTGGCACAGGGAAATCACCTACATATGGAAACTGTTATTATTTCAATTGACAGCAGTGGCGCCCAAATTGTGGTTTCCCCAGACCAGCAACATCACCTGCAAATGTGTTAGAAATGCAAATTGTCAGCTCTCACCCCAGATCTACTGAAGCAGGAACTCAGTGAGTGGGCCCAGAAATTTGTGTTTTAACAAGTTTTCCAGGTGATGCTGATGCTTGCTAGTGCACAAGAAGCACTGCTTTATAGAATGAAGACATTACTAGTGAGGCCAAATACTGAGTGGCAACTCTGATCAGCTGGCTTCCCTGACATCACGCTCTAACATTATAAGCAGCTCAGACAACAGTGTTGTGAAACACACCTATTCTTGATCACATTCTGCCTTCACTATCAGAGGCAGCGCAATGCTTGGCCCATAGTAGGTCGCTAAAAAAAAAAATACTCAAGTGAATCGATAAGTTCAGGACCACAGCTCTCCCCATGTAACCTCAGTACTTGGATAAGGAAGGCAGAGCGTCCAGCAGCTCCCTGCTCCACCTTGCCCTGTGTGCTCTGCTGTCTGATGACAGCCCCATGAACAAGTTAGAGTTTGACTCCCAAACATAGGACTAAGGGGATTGAGATTTGATCCTACAGCCTCTGTTTTCAAATGGGATAAGGCTGAAAGGTCACATGACTCCATGTGTGATTCAGGGAGGAAAGAAAACTAGAGCTAAGATCCCCAATTTTTTTTGTTGTTCTTTGTTCCACGGTTGTGCTGAACCCCTACTAAGCTCAATAGGAAGGCTGAAAAAGAGACCCAGAGCTAGCACCCAAGCCATGGGGTTTTATTAGGGGCGTACATGCAGGGAGAGTGTCCAGTGGTGGTGGGCTGAACAGGGAAATCACCTCATGTACAGAAATAGTCCAGTGGTGGCGGGCCGGGCAGGAAGACTGTAGCCTCTTCTGAACAGCATGCCGTGTACACAGCATTTTCACTTAACACCCTCCTGGTAACCTCCACCTGGCAACCTTCATCCAGTCCCAGACTCGGGGCCTCAATCCCCTGAAGGGTCCATGTTCCACGGAACAGGCCAGGGGCTCAGATGTTTATCATAGACATGGAATGATTCTCGGGTTGGCCACTCCTGGATTCTCTAGCGCGGAACATACATTTAGGCACATCTGCCATACAGGGTCATTCAAGGGTGTGCTTAAGTTATTACTATCAGTAGCATTTACCCTATATCCCCTCATGAACATTAAAATGTTGAGGTTTCTTGATGGAAATTTTTCATCCATTCATAATTTTGGTTTAATCATAGCTTATGGTCAAACTCTGTGGGGCCTCTGTGGCATGTACAATGCTGTGCTGGACAAGGCAGGTGACGTCCCCATCCCCTGCAGAGCCGGAGCCCTGCCCAGGAGAAAGTGTGTAGACAGCCTCAAGACGATGCAGAATGGGGAACCACTGTGTCATAGCAAAGGCCCACGCATGATGTTAGGGGTGTTTAAAGGGCAGAAAAGAAGTCTGTTCCCAGAGTGGAGGATCGAGAAGGCTTCACACAGGAGCTGGACACCAGAGCAGCTTCTGCCAGGGCCTCCCTGGAGACAGTGATCTGGCCGCTCCAGGAGAATGGAATGTCCCACCTGACAGCCATGCAAAGAAATGAATGGTGAAACAGACAGCAGGTCCCCTTTGCCTATTATACTAGCATTAAAATGTAGTGGACACAGCTAGTGCTGGCAACAGTGTGATGAAATTGGCATTCCCATCTATTTCTGGAAGCATCTGGCAAACTGCCAACTGGGAAGAAGCTTTTTGGAAATCATCAGTCAACACGCGTGAAACGCTATTGTCAATGTTTGTGTCATCGGCCCCAGCAATCAGACATGTGGAAATCTGTCCTAACGGATGTTGTTGTTAGCAGAAGAAAAACAATATTCTCCACTGGGTTCATTTCCCTACAGATGGAAGCAATGCTTCCATCTGTAAATGTAGGCGTCAGAGAATGGCCACCTGAATAAATACTAACTGCTCAGTGTTGAGTAGCCCCTAAAATAATTTTTCTGAAAAAATTCAGCCACCTGCAAATAAAAATCTTAAGATATATTAAATTAAAAATCATGTCTCAGAATTTTACTGAGGACAATTGCAAATATTTAACAAGTAATAAACCTTGGGCAAAGATACTGGAAGAAATTACAACAAAATAATAGTGCTATCATTAAGATGGTGTGGTTGGTTGTGGTTTTATTATATGTTTTCTCTGCTTTTCAAATGCTCTTAGATGTTCTTACAGATAATAGTTGGAGAATGCAAAATACTAGAGAGAGAGAAATGAGAATGAAAGGTTACCTCCTTCTCATTGAAGTGGTAATAAAAATAGTCACAGGACCTCTTATCGCCAGCAGCACTAACCCTCATGTGAACTTCATTTTCATTCTTTTCTGTTGCTGAAAATTGGTCTCCAAGGGCAGTTAAGTCTCAGGGACATTGCTTGACTTCAGGCTGTAAGGAAGCCCAGCACCAGGCTGGATTTCTGAAGCTAAGCAACAGGTTCTGAGGTAGGTCAGAGAGGGTGGTCATAGCCTCACTTAGAGGATAGCAAACTTGCTAAATAGATGGCGAGAACAAGCCACCCGATGGTGCACAAGCCTCATCCCAGGCTCGTGGTTAGACCATCCTGCATCAAGGAGGTAGAAGAGCAGAAGGAAAAATCCGCGAATTCATCCAAGTGCAGAAACCAAAGATTAGTGTCCTTGGGCTGACCTGTGCTCATTGTAATACTAAAGAACTGGGTGGAGATTTACGATGCTAATGAGACATGCGATGTGTGTACTAGCAAGCACAACCACAGCACATGTGCCACCAGGAGACAGCCCAGAACATGCGTAATGGCAACACCCCTTCCCAGTCCTTCAGGAATAATCATGTAAGACTCCCACAAAGGGGGTTTCCCCAGTGTGGGCCCGCACGGCTTCGCCTTTGAGCGGCCACTCTGATCAGAGGGCAGAGCGCACTTTTCGCTGTGCAATCAACTCCCTTGCTTACCTTTACTTTGGACGTGCTCTCAAGTTCTTTTGGGTGGCTAAGTCAAGACCCCGAGCCGCTCCACCAGCAACAGTGTTTTCGGAGCCGCTTAACCACAGGCCCTGAAAGACGCTGAAGTCCTTAAACTGGGGGAGAGCCTGGGAGCATGTGAAACACAAAACGGCTCCCAGCGGATGGGGAGGCAGCACCCTGACCGGAACCCGGAAGAGGTTTGCCCGCGAGCCTAAGTCTCCTCACACAGCCATCCGGGCACCTGGGCGGAAGTGGGGCTGGTGAAACCGCGCGTGGTGTGGGTGTTTCTCCAGCTGTATTCTGTCGAGCCCCTAAAGGTCTGGCCTGCATTGGAAGGGCTTCCTCGTTTCTATTCAAACAGAGAAGTTCTTATTTTCTGTATTTGTGGTTTTTGCTTTCTCATATAATTTTGGTTGCACAAAGCTAAAAAATATTTGAAAGCCTCTACTTAATTGTATAACTAAATGCAATATTATCTTTTGCTTATTTAATAACTATTTTAATATTTATTTTCTATTTATGTTAATAGCAATAATAAAAATATAACTTGGAGAGAAAACTTTTCTCTCCGTTAACTATCACTATATCATTTAACTACCACTAGCTATTCCTCACAACAGATTATAAAATGTAAGCACCTGCCACCTCATTAGCCTCTATGCTCCACAATGCCAGGGACTCTTTGCCTTAGTCTCCACTATGTGCTCAGAATACCTAGCACATACTAGGTTTGAACAAAATGCATTTTGGAGAGTGGATGCTGCCGCCACCTGGTGACAGCATACCCACATTTCATGCCTAGCACTTTGATTACTTAATGAAATTCACGGGGAATGGAATCAGAACACCTAAGACATGCATCTGTGTGATAACAATCTCACTTTCCTCACTTAGCTTTTTCTGTTTCCCTACTCTGCACAGGTTGGAGACATCTGAGTTTTCTCTGCCCCCATCACCTGCACCTGCCCTGGTGGCATACACTTGCACCTCCTCTGTGTGGTATTAGGTTGGTGCAAAAGTAATTGCTGTTTTTGCCATTACAACTGCAAAAACTGCAATTACTTTTACACCAAACTAAGAATAGGGCTTGCCCCTCCAGATGATAGAATCGTTGCTTGTCACCTTAGAACTTCTCATACAGAGCACCGCATTCATCAAACCCCAGTCTCAGCCATCCTCAGGGCACATGGAAGGTCATGCCCATAAATCAATGCCTCAGCCAACATCTGGTCTCCCCTTCTGCCACTCCCTGTGTCCCTGCCCTGGCACCAGGCATTTGCAGGTGCACGGGGCAACATCATTTAGTTAGCTTAATCTGGGCAGGGAGGAGCATTAGTAAACATGAGAGATAGCTGTTGGCTCATGGAAAAGATTAGTTTTAAGCTATTTAAGGCAAAGCAATAAAGGATGTGGTTTCCTCCTCTGACATGCTTCCTAATTTGTAGATTCATATGACATCATACTGGATTACAAAGCCATATTACTCTGATCGGTAATATTATGCTATCCTAATTCAGTTTGTATAATTATTTAAGTTTAATTTTTAGGACTGCTATCAAATATTAACATTGGGCTCGGTAGAGGCCAGAAAAAAATTGGGAACACGCATCCACACACATCAAGAAGCTTAATTGGTAGAATCATGCAGGGCAATTATTTTAATGAGAACAAAGCCTCATGTCTGGCATATACATATGACTGTGTCCAGCCCAACTCCGTTGACATGACAGTCACCGGACTCGAAGCTCCTCAAGGACAGGGGCCATGTCGCTTTCACAGACATGACTCATTGCTGGGGCTCAATCAGGGTTGAGCTGACTTGACTTGAAGCTGAACGAGGACAAAGAAAGGTCAGGCAGTCCTGGGAAACTCGAAGGTCCGAGAGACAACATTCGCTGTTGTCCTCGCTGTTTATTTCTCTGAGGTCCATTAATTAGGAAGCAGGTAGGAGCCATGTCATCACGGCCACTTGGGCCAATCTTCTGCACAAATGGGGAAGGCATCTGCCCCCACAGTGAACTCTAGGCTTATCTGCCTCCCAAATCTCTCTCCAAGCTAACTTCCATGGTTATTCAAATCCCTCTTAAATATTCAGACCTCCGGCCCCTGGACCTCTATGGTCCTCCTGAGAAAGCTGGAGCTGTGATTTCTCTGAGCCTCCATTCTTCATCTGTAAAATGGGGCCGTAGAGTCTACTCCACTGGGCTGAGAAGCTACTGGAAACCAGGCTGCCAAGTGCCTGATGCAGCATCTGTCTCCAGCCAGCCTCCGCACAAAGACATTTCCTCCTTTTAAAATTATATCTAGACTTGTCATCATTTTTTATTTTTATGGGTACACAGTAGGTGTATATATTTATGGGGAACATGAGCTGTTTCGATACAGGCATGCAATGCACAAAACTCACACCGTGGAAAATGGAGTATCCATCTCCTCAAGCATTTGTCCTTTGTGTTACAAACAATCCAATTATACTCTTAGCTATCTTTAAATGTACAATTAAATTACCGTTGACTCTACTCACTCTGTTGTACTGTCAAACACTAGGTCTTATTCATCCCCAGGTCCGTCCTTCTCACCCCCACAACCCTTCCCAGCCTCTGGTAACCATCCTTCTCCCCTCTATCTCCATGAGTTCAATTGTTTGAATTTTTCGATTCCACAAATAAATGAGAACATGTGATGTTTGTCTTTCTGTGCCTTGCTTATTTCATTTAAGATGATGACCTCCAATTCCATCCCTGTTGTTGCAAATGACAGGTTCTTATTCTTTTTTATGGCTGAATAGTACTCCGTTATGTAAAGTACCACATTTTGTCCTCTTATTTCTTTTCATCACTGCTGAGAGCCAGTCCTATCTGCTGCTTTTCCAGGGTTTCCTAGGAAGATGCCTACCCTATGTGTTAGACCAGAAGTTTCAGTTAACGTGGTCCAAGGACAATCACAGCCCAAGCACCTGTGGCAGGGCCTCAGGTGCCTGCATGTCACCAACGTCTTACCCCAGAAGAGATGCCCACGCTGGCTGGGAAAGTTTAGCCGCCGTCCATGCACACATCTGCCCAACAAATATGGACGGATTGCCTACCATGTGCAAGTGTTAACCACACACCTGAGAAAGCATCATCAGGTTAAGAGAGACTTTATTTCCACAAGCAGTTTGCAAACTGGGGAGATGCAGCCTTCAGTGCAAAACAAAGCTGGGCCTGGAGAGAACCAAGAGAGTAGTTGTCTTTGATAGAGAAAGTTCCCACCCAGCTTCCCACTCTGGCCCGCTTATGCAGTTGTGGGATGTAAACTGGTCAGTTTTGATTGGCTGATGCTGTCACAGTCTATTGCTCAGGTCCAGGAGGCAAAATAAGGTTTTCCCACAGCTACTGATTCAGGTGGCACGAACAGGAAAAGACAGCTCTGAATGTCCCTAAGTTACACTGCAAGGGTGTGAGTTTTCCTGGAACAGAGTATGTGTGTGACCTATAGTCAGCAAATGACTGCTTGGCTCTGTTTGGAAACTCGGCCCAGTTAGATGCTCAGAAGCTGTTTTGGAGAACAGGCTCTTTCAGGGTTCACAAAAGACAAAACAACCTAGCAAAAGGGAGAAAATATTCCTGCAAGATCTACTTTCTAGATTCTCCAAGAAGGTGGTTTAGTCAGGGTTCTCCAGGGAAATGGAACCAATAGGAGATATTATACATACATACATACATACATATATACATATATATACACATATATATACACACACACACATACACACACACACACACACACACACACACACACACACACACACGGGTGTGGGGAGATTTATTATAAGAAATTGACTCGTGGCCGGGCACAGTGGCTCAAGCCTGTAATCCTAGCACTTTGGGAGGCTGAGGCGGGCGGATTGCCTGAGCTCAGGAGTTCGAGACCAGCCTAGGCAACACAGTGAAACCCCATCTCTACTAAAATACAAAAAATTAGCCAGGTGTGGCAGCATATGCCTGTAATCCCAGCTACTCGGGAGGCTGAGGCAGGAGAATCGCTTGAACCCAGGAGGCAGAGGTTGCAGTGAGTAGAGATCATGCCACCGCACTCCAGCCTGGGCGGCAGAACAAGACTCCGTCTCCAAAAAAAAAAGAAATTGACCCATGCAGTGATGGAGGCTGAGAAGTCCCACAGTCTGCCATCAGCAAGCTGGGGACCCAGGAAAACCCATGGTATAATTGGAGTTCAAAGCCATGAGACGCAGGACACAGGGGAGCTGAGATGTAAATGCTATTGTGATAGCAGAAGACGAGATGTCCCTCCTCAAGAAGAGAGGCAGGAAAAAGGGCGAATTCCTCCTTTCTCTACCTTTTGTTCTATTCAGGCCCTCAACAAATTGGGTAATGCCCATGCCCATGGGGCAGGTCAATCTACTCTGCTGAGTCCAGCGACTCAAATACTAATCTCTTTGGGAAGGCTCCTCACAAACCCACCCAGAAGCAACGTTTAACCTGGGCACCCAGAGGTGCAGTCAAGGTGACACCTAAGACCAACCACCACAGAGGGTGAAACCACCAAGCACTCCAGGAGTTTGGTGTAAGGGTGAACCCCAACCAAGCCAGGGGTCTTGTGTATTAAAAGGAGGAGGCCAGACTCTGACCCCAAAATGTCTGATTCAAAGATCTGAGATGGGCTCCAGAACATTCTATGTGCTCACAAGCACCTCTGCTATTTCTGACTCTGTTGGTCTAAGAACCAGCACAAGGCTGTGAGCTCTTTATGAGCTGAAACCAGGCTCTAGCTCTGTCCCTGAAGGGACAAAGCACAGTATGTGGACATAGCAGGTGTTCAGCGTCTCATCTGTGAGACGAAGCGAAGGCATCGTGAAGGAGTCTGGAAGGACGGAACAACTTTGCTAAGGGGAGTGAGAGTGAGGTCAGGAGTAGACGAGAAACAGGAAATGGGAGTTCCTTTGAGAGTTGTGAGAACGAAATTCCTGCTGGGAAGAGATGGAGAGGATTCGGAGAAGTGGCTTGCTCTGGTGTGAAGGATCCTTCCAAGGAGGTTAGGATTATAATGATCTCATTACTAAATTGGAACTTGCCCGCCAACAGACCCCACTCATCTCAGACGGAGAAGGAGCTCCACAGCAAGCAGTTGTGACTGCACATTAAATATTTAACAGATCGCCTCTTGAGCAATCATTTGTGATCAT